CACGCGGGACTCTGGGGGCCTAGGTGACAGAGATGATGGAAGGACAGCATTCTCTGGGGAGGTGGCAGAGACACAGAGGGAAGAAACACGCGGGGAGGCACAGGTGTGGGCGGCAGGAAGAGAGACGAGTGTCGGTGTCGCTCTGCAAGGCCGCGCCCCATCAACACGCCGTTCTCAGGGGCTCTCAGTGCCGACCCTCCCCTCTGCTGGCACACGGCGCTGCAGTTTTGTGGGTTGTTCTCGTCTTGTTTCTGACCTGATGGCTCTGATGGTCCCGCTTTGGAATGTCGCAGGATCCGTGGGACGGTGCTTCTCCAGGAACTGTCGTTGCCGGATGCAAACACTACTTAGGTGGTGGCTGGGCTCATCTGTACATTCTCATAATTTGTCTGTAGGACTCTGGGATTTCTAAACTCTGCGTCCGACACCTGCTGATGATGGAGTCTGCCTTTCCGTTTTTAAATCTTTCTTGTTTTCTGTTGCCGCACCGGCCGGGCCGTCACGGGTGTGGAATTGTGCGCACGACTCCTCAGCTGCTTGTTCCCGATCTCGGAGGGAACCGGTCACGTAGGGAATCGGCTCTTGGTGCCCGTTCAGACACCGCTTCTTCCTCATGGTGCTTGTTTCCATCTGGTCTCTGAGTCAGCTGTGTCCGCGCACGGGGACATGAGATAGGCATGTCGTCAGCGGGTATGGACTGGAAGCCTGTGGTTCGTTTGTCTTGTTTCCATTAGAGGCGCAGATTATGTTCATGAAGAGTCAATATCGAATCCACTTCTAGAAGAGAACAGACTTGGTTTTGTCTTCTGATGTTATCTATACACGTACGTATAAGATTTCCTTCTAAACAGGAAGAAAATCTTATACATAAGATTTGCCTTTACATTTATGAATGTTGCCTTTCAAAACTGTGAATTGTCCTTTTCCTGTCTTGCTGATGCTTTGTGATCCCTTTCTACATTTGGGAATCACCGATGTTTAAATGCTTGGTACCGGGGCACGTGGGTGGCTCAGTGGTTTAAAGTCTCTGCCTTCAGCTCAGGTCATGATCTCGGGGTTCTGGTATCGAGGCCCGTGTCGGGCTCTCTGCACAGCGGGAAGCCTGCTTCCCCCCACCCCGCCTGCCTCTTTGCCTGCTTGTGATCTCTGTTGAACAAATAAATAAAAATCTTAAAAAGAAAAAAGGATAAATGCTTGGTACATGGTCCTATGCACTGTTTGAGATGCCTTTCGAGTGTGGGGATATTTGAATCTACTGATTTCGCTTCTTTAATGACCAAGGATGTCCTTAGATGTTCTGTTACCTTGCGTCACCTCAGGTGTGTTACCAATTTGTATAAATTTATTCCCTTATTCTAAGACATCTTTCCCTGTGGGGCACCTGGGTGGCTCAGGGGGTTAAGCCTCTGCCTTTGGCTCAGGTCATGATCTCGGAGTTCTGGGATCGAGCCCCGCATCGGGCTCTCTGCTCAGCTCAGCGGGGTGTCGGCTTCCCCCTCTCTTCCTCCCTTTCTGCCTACTTGTGTTCTCTGACTGTCAAATAAATAAATAAAATCTTTAAAAAAAAATCAGGGCATCTGGGCGGCTCAGTCGGTTGAGGATCTGACTCGGTTTTGGCTCAGGTTGTGATATCGGGGTTGCGGGACTGGGCTCTGCACGCAGCGGGGAGTTTGCTTCTCCCTCTTGTGCTGCTCCTCCCCTGCTTGTTCTCTCTCTCTCAAATACATAAAAAAATCTTAAAAATCTTTCTCCACAGCTAGTTTATAATATCTTCTAAGTCTACTTAATCTCTGAAATTGTAATTTTGTTTCTTTTTCATACTTTTTACTTGCCTAAATTCTATTGTTTTTGAGTAAAATTGCCAAAAGATTAAGGAAGATATATTTTTAGCTTGTATGACTTTTTAAAAAATGTATTTATTTATTTATTTACTTACTTAATTTATTTATTTATTTGACAGGCAGAGATCACAAGTAGGCAGAGAAGCAGGCAGAGAGAGAGGAGGCGTCTATTTATTTATAGGGTATTAATTAATTCTGGGCAGACACTTTGAGAGATCTATTTTAATTTTTAAAGATTTTTATTTTTATTTATTTGACAGATCACAAGTAGAGAGGCAGGCAGAGAGAGAGGGGAAGCAGGCTCCCCCACTGAGCAGAGAGCCCGATGTGGGACTCGATCCCAGGACCCTGAGATCATGACCTGAGCTGAAAGCAGAGGCTTAACCCACTGAGCCACCCAGGCATCCCTGAGAGATCTATTTTAATCTTGATGGGAGGCACACTGTGGACCCTGCCAATATGGGTTGAGGTTTTTGCCCAGGAAGAGGATGTAGGTGATCTAGTCAAGACAAATGATCCGTGTCTCCAGTCTCTACTATTGTGTGTCCGAGATGGAGCAGGTGAAAGATGTGGAAGGGTCATTTATTTTCTTTGCTTTTGTGTTGATTACTGTTATCAAATTCTAGAATTATTTCCCTTTTCTGGGACAGAGACACTTATTTAAAAAATATCTGCCCAATGAAATGAGTGCGCATTGGAACTAAGTAGAAAATGGGGTGTCTCTCAAAAGACCTAAGCAGAAGGGAGTGGGTTCAGACACTGAACAGTTGAGGTTCGTTAGGGACCTCTACTATTTGTATTGTAGTCCTCCTAGGTGAGGGGTCCTTACAGCAAGGGTCTGGGCACGTGTCAACAAGGACAGAGATTCATTCCCAGTGTGGGGAGTGGTTTCTTCGAGCTGATTACAAGGGAAGACTGGGATGGGTCCCTGTGGTTCCCTGCAGTTCGATCATTGGGAGGGAGGAGGACTTTGGAAAGCCTGGCTGCAGGGAAGCAGATGTGGGAGCACTTAAGTTGGTAACAATCTTTTTTCCAGTGCCCTGGTCCTCTGCAAGAATAGGATAAACGAGTCAGGTTTTGGTTTTGTTTAGGAACCTCCATTTGCCAGAATTGAGAATTAGGAATTCCAGTGGTCTTGAGGCCCCTGACTGGCTCAGTGAGTAGAGCTTGCGATTGATCTCAGAGTTGTGAGTTCGAGCCCCACCTTGGGCACAGAGCCTACTTTAAAAAAAAAAAAAAAGTAAATTTTTTAAAAAAGAGAATTTTAGCAGTTTTTCTTTTAGTTGACTCATCTAGGATGTGTGTGAATGGTTTGTCAAATTTACCTGCAGTGGACATATTTCACATTCTATCCTGGTCCTTATGACTAAAGGGAAAAGATACTTGTTCTGGTCTTTAATAAACATAAACTTAAATGTTACCTGGGTGGATTCCACACCTACAGGAAGACCAGAATTTTCTTTAAAGATAATTTGGAGTTGGTTTGTAATCGTCATGGAAAGGCTGATGATTTATGTATGTAATGTAATGTATGTAATGTAATGTAAATATGCATGTAACGTTAACTTTTAAAGTAAACCTGCCGGGGATACCTGGGTGGCTCAGTTGGTTAAGTGTAACCTGCCAGTTATTGTACTAGCAAAAATGGGTTTACTTGGTAATAGCAGAGATTTACAAATCTTTTTCTTTTTTTTTTAAGATTTTATTTATTTGTCGGGGGTGGGGGGGGAGAGGCAGGCTCCCGCTGGGCAGGGTGCCCAATTTGGGACTTGATCTCAGGACTCTGGGATCATGACCTGTGCAAAAGGCAGTTGCTCAGTGGACTGAGCCACCAGGCGCCCTGAGATTTGCAGTTCTGTTATGTAGGGAGGACCTCTGTTTCATCGAGGAGAAGGGGATATTGGGAGGGGCTGTTCCACATGACATCCACCGGGGCAAACTTGGGGTTACCCCCTAGTGTCTTCTCATAGGGTAGGCTGTGACTGCCTCTCATTGGCTGGGCTGTTGCCAGGGCAGGAGAAAACTTTCCTTCCTTTGTCCTGCTGGGGCAGTAATGTGTCCAAGATTGTCTCTTGCTATTGAGTGCAGTGGAGGTGCTGGTGAGAGCTCCCCCTTTGGTCTTCTAATTTCACTGGAGTCATGTTCCTTTATTCCTTTTCAGAGAGTCAGTGGGTTCTCGGGCGGTTTTCACTTGCTGGCCGTTACGAATCAAGCTGCTGAGTGTGTGTGGAAATAGTGTGGTGCTCATCTTCACTTGTCTTGGGTAGATTGATAGTAGGAGTGGAATTGCTATATTGCACGGTGACTGGACGGTCATCATTTTGAGGACGCGCCGGACTCCTCCCGGGTTGTGCCATTTTGCATCCCCAGAAGCAGAAATGCATGAGGAGGGCACCTGGGTGGCTCAGTTGGTGGAGCATCTGCCTTTGGCTCGGGTAGTGGTCCCGGGGTCCTGGGATCGAGTCCTCTGTTGGGCTTCTGGGATCCAGGTCCACATTGGGTTCCCTGCTTGGCAGGGAGCCTGCTCTGCCTGCTGCTCCCCCTGCTTTTGCTCTCTCTCTCAAATGAAGAGAGTCCCCCTTTCTCAGGTCCTCACCAGCACTTACTTGTTTCTTTATAGCCATTCTAGTGGGTCTGAAGGGGTTTCTGCTTATAATTTGACATCCATTTCCCCGATAACTGACATCTAGCATCTTTTCCGGAACCTGTTGGCCGCTGGCGTATCTTCTTAGAAAGGTACCTGCTCATATTCATCCCCCATGATTTGATCGTATTATTTTTCTTTATATTATTGTTTTTTATTTTTCATGGGGTCATATGGATTTTTAAAACATATTTAAAATACAGGAGTTAACCAGGTGTGTGATAAGCAAACCCCAGTTATAACCACAGTTGAAGTAGAATTGACCTTCTTCTTAAGTGTTATGGGTGGCATATGAGATTTTGTTTTTCCCTTAAGTTTTGAGAACATAGTTTTTGTTTGGACGATCTCAGATTTTTTGAAAAAAAAAAAAAAAGATTTTTAAACTCTGCATTTCACGAGTGCGGTGTCATCCCTTGTTGCTCTGATGGGGTGGATTTGCCTTGTTTTCTTTCTCTGTTACAAAGTCGCCAGCAGCTGTTACCATCAGTCCCTCAGGGGCTCCTCCCTCTGGCGCCCTTCTGCTTGCATTCTGGGCACTGGGGTACATGGTCGAGGCCCTGCTGATTTCTGTGATTCTTCAGGAGCTGGAGCTCCTCTTATGCACTACGTGTGCCAGGCCCCTGGGGCCTGTGTCCCTGCTCACTGTCCACCGAACCCAGGGACAGGGTGGTGTGTGCCTCTGCCGGGATAGAGGGGACTGCGCTAGGCTCCTTGACCTTGTTGCCTTCCAGCGAGAGCAGCACTGGAATCTGTGTTCACGGCATCCTGACATCTGGTTCCAGTTCTTGGGGCTGACAAGGCAGTAATCGTCCCTGAGCAAGTCAGAGATGTGCCGTCCAATTTCAGTGTGGTCTGAACGAGTATTTCATTTTTCATTCTTTACCATACAAGTGTCCTCAGATCTGCTCATTTTCAGGGCAAATAGCCTATATTTGGGTGTATGTACGTCTGGATGAGCTGTCGTCATCGCCCTCTGCTTCGGGGTCCCAGCCCTTCGCGTCACTGAGGGCACTGCCGTGGAGGTGTGTTTGCGTGTTGTCACTTCCCGCATGGGTGTGACTCGGGTCCTCAGAATGGAATCTGGTTCCCTGCGTGTTGCCCCCGCATCCTCCCACACACACGGGTGAGGAGGGAGCGTTGCTGCAACAGAACATGTGGATGTTGCAGGACACAGTGGTCTTTGCGGATGTGGCTGTGAACTTCACCCCGGAAGAGTGGGCTTTGCTGGATCGTGGTCAGAGGCGGCTCTACAGGGATGTGATGCTGGAGACCTGCAGGAACCTGGCCTCCCTGGGTAAGCGTGGTTCTACCCCGTCTCTAGAGTTGTAGGGAACGAGTGTTTCTTAGAAGTGTCTGATCTTCCTGGGGCCGAGGAATGGGAATATGCTGGAGGAGAGACAGACGTGGCCCAAGCCTTCATGGAAACTACTGAGGGTCACATACCTTTTGCGTGAAAACAGAGTCTCCTGTGTTAAATTGGCTATTGCTTCTATCAAAGTCTGAGACTCCCTAATTTTATCAGTGTGAGGATGGGCTCCTTTGTGGTTTTCAGTTCTGCGATAGATGCGCTGTGGTTCACACCCATTTCTCCTGGTAATCATGCTGCAGTTAAACTCGCACTTTGTCCTCTTCGATGACCTTGAAGACCAAATTAACAGCCCATCTTCCAGACTGCTTGTGGCCCTTCAAATCCTCCCTCCTGCTGGGCTGTTGTGGGGAGCTGGGCGGTAGCCACAGCCACTGTCCAACCTCCCAGTCCCCAATGGCAGCTGGGGCAGTGCAGGCTCCCCCGATGGCCTCAGTGCCTTCAGAACGGTCCAGCAGCCCTCAGTCGGACCAGGTTCTGGAGAAGGGAGAAGGGAATGGCATTCGCGCATGTCCGTTAGAAACGTGACTCCGTCCCTGTTTTGAGAAGGTTGATTTTGTCATTCACCTGCTCTCCGTGTCGGACATTTCATCCATCCTTGCCCACGTGGCAAGCCTTTCTGTGTTCTTATAGAAGTAGGGTGTGGATGTGAGGATTTTGCCCAGTTCCGATAATACTATCTCCTCATTAGTCACCACTGATTTTAAAGCATTTCCGCATAAACAGGCTGCCTTTTCATACGCTTTTCCTCTTATTGCCAAAGTCCCAAAGCACTAAGGTCCTTAGAGTTTTTCTGTGGTCACATGTTCATTCTTCCTGATGAACTTCATTTACATTTGGGATCAGTATATGAAGAGAAATCCCCAAATGGTCTGTTTTCTGAATTTTCTTACCTTTAAACATCAGGTCATTCCCAAGAAGTTAAATTGTGCTTCCAATTCTTGCAGATTGTTGCACTCAAGTTAACCCTTGTGGATCAGGGATTCAGCTGAATATTTTGGAGAATGAACTATCCAGTGAAGATAAAATAGTAACATTTACAAGAAATGATTCCTGGGCTCTTTTTGGAGAAAACTGGGTGTTTCATCACATTGGAGATCAGACCCAATCCCAGGAGAGGTGTTTGAGGTGAGTGCCTCTCTCTCCCATAGGAGAAAGAGGAATCTTGGCAAATTGTTAGAATAACTTGAAATTAAAGAAGGCATGGAGTTATAAACCTAGCTCAACAGTTGTGTAGTTGGAATTACACAAGTTCTTCCTAAATGTGATGTAGTATTGATCAGCAGATATATAATTCAGCTCCAGACATTTATCAGGAAAACCCACATGTAAGAAAGTTTGACAGTTACGGCTGTCACTGGGCCCTTATTCTGAGCATTTGGCTTCTTCTACATCATAGCAGTGTAGACGGTGACACAAACATGCCCATTCCTTGGAAGTGGCCATTATGTATCAAGTAATCATTAATATCAATAGATCGTTAATAAAGAGATCAGTTAAAATCATTATTCCGTAACAGTGTGCCTTCCCATTTTGAACAGAAGTCGTTTGGTGGAGCGGGTCTGTGAAAGCAGCGAAGATAATCGATGTGGAGAAATCAGAAGGCAGATGACAAGTCTTACCGTGCGTGCGCATCATCCTACTGGAGACAAGTCCTGTCACTGCGCCAAGTGTAGAGAAGCCTTCACAGATGGTTCTTTCCCTGAGAATCCACAAAGATCCCACCCTGGACACAAACCTAGTGCCCGTGAGGAATGCGGGCCGGCCTGCAGCTGTGTCTGGAGCCCCAGCCCTCACGTGGACACAGGCCTTGTAGAGAAACCTTATGAACCTCAGGACACTGGGGGAGCTTCGACGAAAGACTTGAAGAGTCGCGGTAGTAAAAAATCTTTGGAGTGCAAGAAATGTGGGAAAACTTTCACTTGCATGTCGTCCTTTCGGGGTCACGTGGAGGGTCACTGTGGACAGAGAGTCCATGCGTGTGACGTGTGCGGGAAGGCCTTCATGTATCAGTCCTACCTTACACGTCACGTGAGAACTCACACTGGGGAGAGACCCTATGAATGTGTGGAGTGTGGGAAAGCCTACAGTTGCCTCTCATATTTTCGAGAACATGTGAGAACGCACAGTGGAGAGAAACCCTATGAATGTAAGCAGTGTGGGAAGACGTTCAAGTATCCCGCGTCCTTGCAAGGACACGTGATGACACACACTGGAGAGAGACCGTATCTCTGTCAGCAATGTGGGAAAGCCTTCAGTTGTCCCAAATACTTCAGGAGACACGTGAGAACGCACAGTGGGCTGAAACCCTATGAATGTTCGTTATGTGGGAAAGCCTACACTTGTTCCTTATCCCTTCGAGAACATGTCAGAACTCACAGTGAAGAGAGACCCTACGAATGTCAGCAGTGTGGGAAGGCCTTCAGACATCCTCGATATTTCCAAAGACACGTGAGGATGCACAGTGGCGTGAAACCCTACGAGTGTAAGGAGTGTGGGAAAGCGTACAGCAGCTCCACATCGCTGCAGGAACATGTGAGGACACACACCGGGGAGAGGCCCTTCGAGTGTCAGCAGTGCGGGAAGGCCTTCACTCGTCACTCCTCCCTTCAAGGACACGTGCGGGCGCACAGTTTGGAGAAACGTTACGAGTGTGCACAATGCGGGAAGGCCTTCCGTTGGTCCTCGTCCTTACAAAAACACGTGAGAACACACAGTGAAGAGAAACCCTATGAATGTCAGCAGTGTGGCAAAGCCTTCTGGTACCCAGCCAACCTGAGAGCCCACGTGAAGACACACACTGAGGAGAGAGCCTACGAGTGTCCGCACTGTGGGAAGGCCTTCAGCTGTCACTCCTCTCTTCAGGTGCACGTGAGAAAGCACAGCGGGGTGAAACCCTATGAATGTAAGGAGTGTGGGAAGGCCTTCTGGTATCCCGTGAACCTGCGGGCACACGTGAGGACGCACACTGGGGAGAGACCCTATGAATGTAAGGAGTGCGGGAAGGCCTACAGGTGCCCCGCAAACTTGCGGGTCCACGTGAGGACGCACACTGGGGAGAGACCGTATGAGTGTCAGCAGTGTGGGAAGGCCTTCAGGTATCCGGCCAACCTGCGAGCCCACGTGAGGACGCACACTGGGGAGAGACCCTACGAGTGTCAGCAGTGCGGGAAGGCCTTCAGGTACCCGACAAACCTGCGAGCCCATGTGAGGACTCACACTGGGGAGAAACTCTGAATGGAAGGACTGTGGGAAAGCCTTCATCTGTCCTTAAAATCTTGTAAATCCAATCAGACACACTGGCAGGAAGTCTTATGAATGTAAAGACTGGTGGGAAACCTTTAGGTATAGTTCCTCGTATATTTTGTGCATAAGAACTCAGGGCTGGAGAGCAGTCTCTGTTTGTTATAAACATGGTTGTGCCTTGTAAGTGCCTCGTCCCTAACAGGGATCCCCGTCATATTTATTTCCACTGCATGTTGCCAAGAGGAACCCCTGAGATAAAATATTCCTCTCTGTGCCCTTTGTATGAGATATATTTTGTTACTTCACACGTGAAAATTGTATAGTTATATAAAATTTCTCATTTCCGTGACAATGTCTTTGGGCCCCAGGGGTGACAGTGATGTGTATTTATAGCTCGTCCTCTCTTGTGGATACTGGAAATTCCGACTCTGTCTCTACTCTTCTTCCAATCTTCATGATTGAATGATGTATCTTCACGTTTGCTTATTGCCGCTGTATACCACACCTCTGCGCCCCACAGAAATGAGTCAGCGTGCAGGGATGCTGAAAGAGGACAGTCTCCTCCAGTTGTGCTCCTATTTTGGCCTCTGCCGATCACACTTCATCTTGGTTGTTCATCAGTCATGATGCATTAAGAAGAGAAACCCTGTGGCGTAAGATGAAAGCTGGCGTCTGGCTGCTTCTACTGAATTTCGTTGTGAGCGTGGTGAGGTGGGAGACCATGTGTCCCAGAGTCCTTCTCTCTGTGGTTCTGAGATGAAGGCCGTGAAGAAAGAAACTGCTTGAAGAAGCTATGCTTTTCTGGCAGGAGACAGAGATGTGTGGGGACCCACATGGGCTTGGGTCACGGCGCATCTTCCTAATTACTGATCTGTCGTGTGGAGCAGCCTGCAACCTGACACAAGTTTGACATCAGTTTTTGTCCGGTAGCACACTCCAGAGACTTTTCCACGAGCTCTCCTGTGATGGACCAGCTCGGTTTTCAGGTCCACATGGTTCCTTGCGCTGCCCTGTGGCTCCTTGTGTCCATGAGGCCACCTCTTTCAGGCCATCGTGTATAGGGATCTCTCTCATCCTGGCACCTCTCCTCTCCCATACTTTTTCTACCACATGATTTCTGTGGTAAGCATCATGTCCCTCTCAGGATAGATCTGTGTCCTGCCTCCCCCTGACGGGATTAATGCTGCAGCCTCAGATGCGGGAAACCTCCTTCCCTTGTTGCACTGTAGAGAGGCTCCAGTAGCCCTGTATTTCTTCCTTCTGGATGTTTCTGTAATTGGAATAAGCACTTGTGAGTGTATGGCAGTTTGTGGCAATTCTCACCTATAGCTAACTGGCTGACTGCTATCTAAGAGATAAATCCAGTATGCTTAATTCCTTTCTGTTGATACATGTAATTTCCCAGGTTTTTTTGTTTGTTTTTTTTTTAACATGTAATTCAAAACAATGGCTTTTTCTTTGCTTTGTAAAATGTGTTTCTCTGCATTGCTTCATGGAAACCACATTACTGAGGTTTTCAAATCTGTTGCGTACTTGCAAATGATAGGATGTTTTATGTCCTCTATTATTTTTTAAGATTTTATTTATTTGAGCAAGAAAGAGAGTGAGCACGAGCAGGGAGCCCGATGTGGGGCTCGATCCCAGGACCCCGAGATCATGACCTGAGCCGAAGGCAGAGGCTTAACCGACTCAGCTGCCCAGCCGCCCCTCACAACTGAGTTCTTTTAAAATATCCCGTTCTACAGGATTAACTTTTTCTTCTGATTGTGTCCATTTTTTTTTTTTTTTTAAATACCTATTCTGGGTGAATAGGACAAGTACAGTTGACATTTTCCTTTTGGTGTGTGTTTCTACAATACCCACGCAGCTGCTATCACTGTCTCGTTACAATGACTTACTCCTGGGGTGACGGAGGGGGCTCAGTGGGTTAAAGCCTCTGCCTTCGGCTGGGGTCATGATTGCAGGGTCCTGGGATCGAGCCCCGCATGGGGCTCTCTGCTCAGCGCGGAGCCTGCTTCCCCCTCTTTCTCTGCCTACTTGTGATCTTGGTCTGTCAAGTAAATAAAATCTTTAAAATAAAATAAAATTACTTACTCCTGGGGCACCTGGGTGTTGCAGTCTGTTCAGTTCCGATTCTTGGTTTCAGCTAGGGTCGTGATCTCCGGTTGTAGGATCAAGCCCTGAGTTGGGCTCTACGCAGAGCACGGAGTCTCTGAAAAATCACTTCCTTTCCCTCTGCTCCTCCCGCCCTTCATGTGCTCTCTCTCTCTCAAGTAAGTATTTTGAAAAGATTATTTACTCCAGTGGTGAAACCCTTAATGAAGCCTTTGTAATGTCTCGGACACCACCAGGAGTCCCGGTCTCGCAGCTCAAGAGCGTGGGAGGGGGAGCCAGACACGTGCATCTTCCGTACTTGTCCGCAACTGAGCAAACCACATTTGTGGTGACCGGAGTCTTCCTTGTGGGAATGACTTTACGACTCGGTGCTCCAGGCATAACCGCCTTGAGGAAATTCCTAATTTCTGGAAACGGTGCTTCTCAGTGTGTGTTGTCCAGAGAGCGCTGAGGCGTTTTCCCAAAAGTCCGTACTAGAATGGAACCGTCCCCGCCTCATTCCTTCCTGCTGCGAATGGCGCCGAACAGGAAGCCCCTTCCCGCGGCGGACGCGAAAGTGGTCATGCTTCACTCGGTGGAGCTGCCTTGTGTTAATCGCGCTGGAGGAAGGACCGGCCGGGCCTTTCTCTTTCCTTCAGAACACGAGCGTTCCTGGGGACCTGCGCCCGGCTGACCCAGGTCGGTGGCTGTCTCCCATCAGACGGCCCTGCGACGCCCCGGGCACGCGGCAAGCCTGGTTGCACTTCCGGCGCAGCTGGTCCGGCTTCCGGTCCCAGGCGCGTGCGCAGCGCGCGCAGCCCTGCTGGGACTGGGGGAGGGAAACGCACGGCGGTGCGGCGCTGTGGAGCGCGACAAATATTCCGTCCAGGCTTTACAGGGACGAGCACTTCTAGTTCTTCCGACCCCTGTCGGAAGGGGCTTTCCTCTACCGTCCTCAGTTCACCAGGATGAGCAGTGATCGTGTGGGTCTCGCTCACTAACAGGGTCGATACAGCTGCACTGAGCTGGGGAGCGTGGAAGGTGTGCGTCGCCACCACGTTTTGACGTCACCACTGGTGGGAAAGAGTCCATATGTGACATTTTCCGTGGAAATCTCTTTTTCATAGCAGGACCATGAAATCCTGTTTCGAATGTTTTACAAATTGTTCACCTTTCCATGTACCCAGAGGGAGTTTTCCTTGTGACTTAATGCTGCTTTCGCTTCCAGTTCTCAGAATCTGAGAGCGAAGTTCAGGGGTGCCCGCGTGATGATTTTCGTAGGCTCTGAATCCATACCTGTTCTGTGTCCCTGAGTGGTTGGCCAGTCATATGTGGCCAAACAAGGGACATAGGAAGGTCCAGGGAGGCAGGTGATTAAACTCAGGTCCTAGAGGGACAGTCAGTGCTTATAAAGAAGGGGTGACTTGGGAGCACCAAGGGAGCATGCAGGAGTGGGAGGGTGGGAAACAGCGTGAGGACATGTGGGCAAGTGCCTGCAGTGTCTACACCGATGTGGACTGTCCCTGATTGCCTTGAGCTGAGTGCGTAGCCCACGAGGGACGCTCAGTATCTTGCATCCGACACTGAACATAGGGTCTGGGAAAGAAAGGCTCAATTTGAATCATGATCCTGACTTGGTTCCTTTCTTGCTCAGTGGCCTTTGAAAAATCACCTGCCTCTGTAGGCCCCAGGTAGCTCACACAAGGAGATAAAAACAGTATCTGCTTTAAAGAGTTTGCTGAGGAGCAAGTGGGTGCATCTATGCTAAGTTCCTTTGTGGAGAACATTTAACGCACTGCCGGCCGTGAGTAAGCAAGACGTCCTCGCACCCATAGTCAGTGAGATCGCAAACATGGCCTCAGTGGAAGCCGTCTGGCCTGGAGTGGCCTGGAGCTCACTACTGGGCTGTGCCTCCCTGTCATTAAGCAGAGCCAGTTCCACCCACCTGTCCTCAGACGAGGCACTTCCTTGTCAGGGATGAGTCAAGGCATGTGATGACCATGTCAAGGTCCAGTCAGGAAGAGGCTAAAAAAGAGAGTCCAATCTCTGAAAATCAGCAAATATTCCCTGCCTCTAGCTGATGTGCCTGGTGCCGCTCTATTCCAGGTTTCAGTTGCACTGCACTCTTCTGGCTGTCTAGGTAAGAACTATTAAGTTCTTCGGGCGCCTGGGTGGCTCAGTCAGTTAAGTGTCTGCCTTTGGCTCAGGTTATGATCCTGGTGTCCTGAGATCCAGCCCCAACCAGGGCCACTTCTCCCTCTTCCTCTGCCCCTCCCCTGTGCTTTCTCTCACCTCCTTCTCCTTACTTACTTCATCTCTATTCATGTATGCACCTGACATTTCTTAGAAGAGTATCACACTGCAATTTCTTTTTTTCAAAGAGGAAAGAATTCTAGGGTTTGCCAGTAGTAATCACAATCACCAAGAAAGGGGGTTAAACGACACTTGAACATCTTTGATTTGCTCCATATCTGACACACTTTAACAGTATGGGGACACTGATCATTTGTTCTTTTTTTTTTTTTTAATTTGATTTATTTGAGAGAGATAACAAGTAGGCAGAGGCAGGCAGAGAGAGAGAGGGGAGGCAGGCTCCCTGCGGAGCAGAGAGCCTGACTTGGGGCTCAATCCCAGGACTCTGAGATCATGACCTGAGCAGAAGGCAGAGGCCCAACCCACTGAGCCACCCAGGTGCCCGTGATCATTTGTTCTTATGAGATAGATCCCCTACCATCCTTTCTGAGCAAAATTTTCAACTGATATTGATAGAATCCACAGTGTGTCGCCCATCAAGATTCAAATAGATCCCTCAAAAGTTCTCCCTAGAAAGGGCACTTAGGTGGCACAGTTTGGTGATGGACTTTTGGTTTTGGCTCAGGTCGTGATCTCAGGGTTGTGAGATGGAGCCCCAGGTCAGGCTCTGCACTCAGCACAGTCTGCTTTAGAGTCTCTCCCTCTCCCTCTGCCCCTTCCGCAACGTACTCTCTCAAATAAATAAATCTTTAAAAAAAGTTCTTCCCAGAATTAATCAATACCCTGTAAATAAAGCAGCTCTTCAAGGCATCAAAGCATAATAGAAGATTCTGAGGCTCAGGGCCTCATTATCCCTTGCACTAGTTTCTGAGAAACTCTTACTTTACCTGTGACAAAACGCAGCGGTCAAGGATAGTTTGTCTAGGATCTCCGAGCAACAAATCACATTGTTACGAACCTCCATAGGCTGCAGGTACTCCGCGAAAGGACAAGGCCGTAAAACCTGAAGGTCCCGAAGAAAGCCCCAGAGGTGAAACACAAGGAGAGCAGAGCTCAAAATCCAGAAGAAAACTTACTGCCAGTCTCCAGGCTGGGAGAGAAAGCAGTGAGCCTAGTAGGCTCTGTGAGTTCTGGTACCTGTTTGCTCACCAGGCTCGGAGTCTCTCGGGTCTACTGGTCCCAATTCTGA